TACCACGGACCAATGAGGGAGAACGATGAGGACCATGACAGTGGGAAGGAAAATGAGGAGACGATGTCACGGCAAGAGCGCAACAGCCGCCCGAGAGACACAGTCGGGCAAAAGACGCGCGATAGGCGAGACAGGACTCCGAGGGAGCTAGGGCATTTGGGAACAAAGGCAGGGTCGTAGGAGGGCACGATGTGACGACTCGCGCAGAGTGGGCAGGGACGCGTCCATAGAGGAAGAAAGCGGATGGAAAACGAGGACTCCCCCCCCCACCCTCCCCTCCCCTTCCCCTTCCCTCGCCTACACAGACAAAAAGAAATCGGCCGCCCGACGCGTGGTGGTTTGTGAAGGCAGAGGCCGTGCTCAAAGAGAGAGAGGGGGGGGGTCGAGCCAGGTCACTGCCGCACCTACGGGCAGCACGCCTCGGCGTTAGCGTCGCGACGACCGGCACACTCTCTCGTGTCCTCGGCGCTAGGACTGGAGCCGGGCAGCGATTGGCAAGCGAGCGGGCTGCGTCGCTCTCTCGCCGGAAAAGAGTGGGGGCAATCGGGCGGGTTCGCTCGGTGTAAGGGTGGGAAACGAGCGGCAGCGGCCGCGTCTCGCGGCTCCCCGATGGCAGCAGCCTCACCTGCGAACGGGAGGTGGCAGGAATTGTGAGGCCGAGGGGGGCGTAGCCGCTCGGGCGCCAAATCGAAGCGCATCGTATGGTGGGAGCGGAGAGGGAGCGGCGGGTTGCGCGAGCGAGATGCGTCGCGCCGCTCGGGCGTGCAGCTCGCCGCGGCCATATGTGCGTCGATACGGCGGGGCCAGCGCGAGCGGAACGGGAAGGCGAGGGGTTGGACCTGTGTGGTATGTCAGCGGTCTCTCGGTCGGGACGCTGTTCACAGACCTTGTTATTGACAAGAAAATACGTCCTATGGTTCACAGACCTTGTTATTGACCTTGTTATTCGATCAAAAAGAGCGCCTACGGCACAACTCTCTCGAGGTCTCGCGGATCTTATAAATCAGCCGAACGGTATTTGTCTTCATGTGTAAACACTCGTGTCCTGCTGTCAAAAGCTCAAGAGTCAAGACAGGGACGTAGAGCTCTACATGCAAGTACTCCTCAAATTTTCTCTCCGGCTCGCTCCGCTCGCTTCTGTGCGCAAGAGCCGGGCCTCGCACGCCTGACGCCGGCGGCTCCTGGCCCTACTCTATGCAGAGAACCCAGCCGGGGCGGCCGCCGTAGCTCTCGGCCCAAACGTAGCCGTTTCCGTTCACCAGCGGTGGTGCGTTCTCGGCCGCAACCTCCTCGGTCATACCTTCGGTGTCGCAGTGGTCGGTGGTGGTCCCACCGTCGGTCGTCATGCCGAGCGAGACGCGCTCCTTGTGAGCCGCGAGCCATGCTGCGATTGATGCGTCGGCTCGCGCACTTGCTGCGTCCTGGCGCTTGTTGAAGTCTGCCGCCGCCTTCTGCCACTGCCGCTGCCGCAGCGCCCGCAGCCGCTGCAAGGTCTCGTCGGGGTCAGCAGCGTCTTCGACTGGCGGTCCTCAATCACGGCGGCCTGCACCCGCAAGTACCAAGCAGCCGGAGGGCCTGTCATGCTTCGTTGCGCAACTGTCGCGCGGTCGTGATTGCGGGAAGAGTGGAATACGGACGTATTCCACCGTATTCCAAAAACTTTCCCAAAAGCGACGTATTCCGTATGAGAGAGATTTTAGGAAACCAACAAGAAATCACGTCTCTCTTGTCGTCTGTGGCTGCAAACTGTGGCCGCGAAACCAAACAAATGTGAGATCGCAATCCTGCTCCCGCGCAAAACGGTAATCGCCAGGCAGCTGCTGGAGCGGCCTCGTGGGGGCATCCTCCTCCTCCCCCTCCTCCCCCTCCTCCTCGGCCTCCTCCTCCTCCCCCGCCACCGCCGCTGCTGTCGCTCCCGACGGAGACCACTTGCCGCGCCCTTTGACCAACTTGAGCAGCTCGGTCTCCGTGTTGCCGAAACGTACATAGGCCCCCTTCCAGCCGAGCCGAATTTCACCCTCTCCATCCTTGCCCTTGCTGTTGCTCGCGAGCGAACTCGTAAGCTTCAGATCGGCAACAAGGCGCCTGTGCCTCCTGCCGATGTTTGCCGCCGCCACGTCAGGTTGTTTTGGATTACTGTACTGAGGTGTGCAGTCGGCTCCATCTCAATGATCATGCCCCACGCCGAGCGGAGGCATTTGATCAAACGTTTGAGTAGGAATTTGTGTCTTGTAGCATGCTTCGACCGAGGGTTAACCATCGCGGCGTCGCCAAGGACGTCGTGTAGCTGGCCGCTGGGTGCCCTCTTGCCTGCCTCCACCGCCTGGCAGGCGACATCAAGGGGGAGCCCAAGGCGGCGCTGAACGGTGACGCGCATCGCGCAGGACTCCATCTTCGGCAAGAAGAAAACCTGCTGCCGGCCAGCTCACGCCTCTCAGGCCGGCCATATCTTGTCGGAAATCATGATCCGCCTACTTCCGACGCTCGCCCTGCTCGCGCAGCGCGTGCGCGCCAACGGCTGCCACGACGCGGCCGGGAAGGTCATCACTGGCCTCGCCCAGCCGGAAGAGTCCTTCTGCACGGCCGGCGCGCTCGGAGAGGAGACGCCGACGATCGAGCTCTTCCGGCATAAGGACCCAAAGACTCGCGGCGAGGCGCCGTACCCGTTTCCGCCCGATCGCAAGTACAACACGAGCGGCGGCCCGGTCAGCGGCAAGATCAACGTCCACCTGGTGCCTCACACGCACGACGACACCGGCTGGCAGGTCACCGTCGACCAATACTTTGCGAGCGAAGTCTTCTACGTCATCGACACGGTCATCACGACGCTCGCGGCGGACCCGAACCGGAAGTTCATTTACGTCGAGACGGCCTTCTTCGCGCGCTGGTGGGAGCAGGCGCCCGACGAGAAGCGGGCGACGGCGACGAGGCTCGTCCAGCGGCGGCAGCTCGAGTTCATCAACGGCGGCTGGTGCATGCACGACGAGGCGAGTCCGCTCTGGACGGCGATGGTGGACCAGACGACGCGCGGGCACCAGTTCATCTTCAAGCACTTTGGCCCCGAGGCGGCGCCCAAGGGCACGTGGCAGATCGACCCGTTCGGGCACAGCAACACGCAGGCGTGGCTGCTCTCTGCAGAGGCGGGCATGGAGAGCCTCTTTTGGGGGAGGATGGACTGGCAGGACCGCACGATGCGGTACGAGCGCAAGCAGGGCACCAACGGGTTCGAGTGGGTGTGGCAGGGCAGCAGGTCGCTCGGCAGCTCGGCGCAGACCTTCGCGGGCAACCTCTTTGGGCGCGGCGCCGGCGGCTACTCCTCATGGTTTAGCTTCGAGGGGTCGGGCGCGCAGGTCAACGACGACCCCGCCCTCTTCGACTACAACATCGACCAGTGGGTGGACAAGTTTGTGCAGAACGCGCGCGAGCAGGCGAGCCACACCCAGGACGCCGAGCACCAGATCTGGGCGCTCGGCTCGGACTTCCAGTACCAGAACGCCGACCAGCCTAGAAGCGGAATACGTGTTCATGTACCCCAACCAGCGCCCGAGAGGACACGTAATCCGCTGTATTCACCCGTATTCCGCTGTATTCACTGGATTCTTCTCCGTTGTATTCGCTCGGTGCTCTGAATACGCTGCACAATAACGTCTTCCCGCCCTGAGGTTGGCGTCTTCAGCACGTAGGCCGACCAGTGGTACCGCAACCTCGACAAGCTCATCCACTATGTCAACCTCAACGGCAGCGTCAACGCCTTCTACTCGACGCCCTCCCTCTACGTCGACCAGAAGAAGCGGTGGAACGGCACCTACGAGCTGCGCACCGACGACATCTTCCCGCTCGCCGACGACTCCCACAACTATTGGTCCGGATACTTCACGTCGCGGCCGGCGCTGAAGCGGCAGGTGCGCTTCGCGACGGGCGTGCTGGCAAGCGCGCGTCAGCTCGAGGTGGTCACCCAGACGACGGCCAAGGAGGTGGACCGGCCCTCGGCCAAGCACGCGCCGGTCGTGGGGAGCTCGTGGACCGACAGCTTCGAAGGCACCGTCGGCGTCGCGACGCACCACGACGGCATGTCGGGCACCGAGCGGCAGGACGTGACGGACGACTACGCGATGCGCATCTCGAGCAGCCAGAAGGAGGTGGAGGCGGGCATCGGCCTCGCGGTGTCCAAGTTGCTCAAGCTCGAGCGAGGCGCGGTGAGCCACTGCCACTGCCACGCCGCCGACGATTGCCTCAACATCTCTGTCTGCGCCGCCACCACCGGCAAAGACGCCTTCACGATCGCTGCGTGGAACCCGCTGGCGCACTCGGTCTCGGAGGTGGCTCGCATCCCGGTCAGCGGCGGCCGCTGGTCAGTCACCGACGGCGTTGGAAGGGCGGTTCCCAGCCAGGTCGTGCCGCTCGACGAGCGAACGAAGGGCCTGCCGCTGCTCTACCTCAACTCGTTTGGCATGAGCACACGCCAGGTGGCCGAGGCGAAGGCGAGGCTGGAGAACAAGGCAGACCACGTCCTCATGGTCGCCCTCGAGTCGCTCCCGCCCGTCGGGCTGGCCACGTTCCACGCGGCGGCGGACGCGGAGAGCACGGTTGCGCGTGCCGCGCCGTCGCCGGTCGACGTCGCCGGCGAGGCCGCCCAGGCCGGCGAGGCTGCCGAGGCGCCAGCCTTCGCAGAGGCCGCCGACACGGTCGTGGAGTCGGACGTGTTTTCGCTCACCTTTGACGGCGCGAGCGGCCTGCTCAAGTCGCTGACCAACAAGCGGTCGGGCGCCACGACCGCGCTCGCCATCAGCTGGGGGTGGTACAACTCGTCCGTGGGCGAGCCTAGAAGCGAATGCGTGTTCATGTGTCCCAACGGGTACTCGCAGCGAGGACACTCGCACCCGTCCATATTCGGCTGTATCCATCTGTGTGCACCGTCTTCCTGGCCCGTGTGTTCCCGCGGCGCTTCACACCCCAACCTTTGTGTACTCACCGTAGGTTGGCGGTTGCACCGAGTACGGCCCCGAAGTGCCCCCCTCGGCGCGGCTGCCTCCGTGCTCGGACCAGCAGTCGGGCGCATACATTTTTCGGCCAAACTCGTCGGCGGCCCTAGAAGCGGAATGCGCATGCTTTGCCCTCCCACCAGCGCTCGAGAGGACACGCACTCCGCTGCATTTGGACCGCATTGCGGCGCTTTCGCTGGATTCCGTAGCCCCTCGTACTCGCGCGGCGCTCTGAAGACGCTGCACACAAAGACGCTGCACAGTACCGCACTCCCGCCCCGAGGTTGGATTCCGTAGCCCCTCGTACTCGCGCGGCGCTCTGAAGACGCTGCACAGTACCGCACTCCCGCCCTCATGTCGGCGTATCCATCACGTAGGTCAACACCCTTCTTCCCCGGCCCGGCGCGCAAGCCGGCTATGCGGGTGAGCCGGGGCCCCCTCGTGACCGAGGTGGCACAGACCTTCTCGCCGTGGGCCTCGCACGTGATTCGGCTCTTCCGGAATGCGAGCTTCGTCGAGGTCGAGTGGCTCGCGGCCCTAGAAGCAGAGTATCTCCCCATATAGCGGGCCCTAGAAGCGGAGTACGTGTTCCTGTCTCCCAGCCAACGCCCGAGAGGACACGTATTCCGCTGTATTCACCCGTATTCCGCGCTGTGTTCACTGGACTCTTCTCCGTTGTCTTCACGCGGCGCTCTGAATACACTGCGCAACACCGTCTCCCCGCCCTGAGGTTGGCGTACTCAGCACGCAGGACCGCGGGCCCTATCCCCGTCGATACGCCGTGGCTGCCGCCGGTGGCGCGTCACAGCGACGGGCGGCCGATGCCGAACAACTGGGGCAAGGAGGTGATCGTGAGGTACACGTCCGGGCTCGAGGCGAGATCGAGATCTCGCCGTATCTCCCCCATAGCTCCCCCATAGCTCCCCAGATCCCCCCACAGGCGTTCGGCCACATCTCGCCACATCTCGCCACATCTCGCCACATCTCGCCACATCTCGCCACATCTCGCCACATCTCGCCACATCTCGCCACATCTCGCCACAACTCGCCTTATCTCCCCGCATTTCTCCATATCTCCCCACGGGCGCGCGAGATCCTACCGCACCACCCACGGGACTGAACCCACACTGGGTTCGGTACTCTGGAGGTATGGTACTAGGCGGGCCGCACGTGGTACACCGACTCGAACGGCAAGGAGATGGTCAAGCGCGTGTACAACCGGCGCGACCCCTTAATGAATTAAATTACAATTATTTTGTTTAGACCCCCAACGTCCCGCTCGGCCGCACACCCTTTCTCCCGTGTCAACGTCGCTTCCACGACACGTCCACGACACGTCCACGACACGTCCACGACACGTCCACGACAGTGCCACGACAGTGCCACGACAGTGCCACGACAGTGCCACGACAGTGCCACGACAGCTCCAGGACAGCTCCACGACAGCTCCACGACAGCGCCACGACAGCTCCACGACAGCTCCACGACAGCTCCACGACAGCTCCACGACAGCTCCACGACAGCTCCACGACAGCTCCACGACAGCTCCACGACAGCTCCACGACAGCTCCACGACAGCTCCACGGAAGTTCCACGACAGTGCCACGACAGCTCCACGACAGCGCCACGACAGCTCCACGACAGCTCCACGACAGCTCCACGACAGTTCCACGACAGTGCCACGACAGCTCCACGACAGCTCCACGACAGCGCCACGACAGCTCCACGACAGCTCCACGACAGCTCCACGACAGCTCCACGACAGCTCCACGACAGCTCCACGACAGCTCCACGACAGCTCCACGACAGCTCCACGACAGCTCCACGGAAGTTCCACGACAGTGCCACGACAGCTCCACGACAGCGCCACGACAGCTCCACGACAGCTCCACGACAGCTCCACGGAAGTTCCACGACAGTGCCACGACAGCTCCACGACAGCTCCACGACAGCTCCACGGAAGTTCCACGACAGTGCCACGACAGCTCCACGACAGCGCCACGACAGCTCCACGACAGCTCCACGACAGCTCCACGGAAGTTCCACGACAGTGCCACGACAGCTCCACGACAGCTCCACGACAGCTCCACGACAGCTCCACGACAGCTCCACGACAGCTCCACGACAGCTCCACGACAGCTCCACGACAGCTCCACGACAGCTCCACGACAGCTCCACGACAGCTCCACGACAGCTCCACGACAGCTCCACGGAAGTTCCACGACAGTGCCACGACAGCTCCACGACAGCGCCACGACAGCTCCACGACAGCTCCACGACAGCTCCACGACAGCTCCACGACAGCTCCACGACAGCTCCACGACAGCTCCACGACAGCTCCACGACAGCTCCACGACAGCTCCACGACAGCTCCACGGAAGTTCCACGACAGTGCCACGACAGCTCCACGACAGCTCCACGGAAGTTCCACGACAGCTCCACGACAGCTCCACGGAAGTTCCACGACAGTGCCACGACAGGTCCA